CGGCCGGACCTGCCCCCTCCTCCTCCGGATGCCCCTCCCCCTCCTCTCTCCTTCCTCCCTCCCTTGTCTCTGTTCTTGCAAATTGTAGGTAATTTTAATGTAGATTTTAGAATGTAGACATTGTAGGATGTAGGTTTTTTAATAGAATATTTTTTGACTATTTTAGGTGTTTTGAATAAAATAGAAGTAAGAAAATTTAGGGTAGAACTAGGGCAGTAGAATTTTTAGCAAGTGTTTAATAGAAATAGTTTATTTAGTAAGTGATTAATATAACTAGTTTATTTATATTAAGTGCTTAATAGAACTAGTTTATTTAGTAAGTGCTTAATAGAACTAGTTTATTTATAGTAAGTGCTTAATAGAACTAGTTTATTTAGTAACTGTTTAAAATAATTAGTAACTGAATTAATAAACTAGTTGAACTAGTTTAGTTTTAGTTGAACTAGTTTAGTAAGTAAATTAATAAACTAATTGAACTAGTTGAATTAATAGAACTAATGTATTTTTAGTAAGAAAATCAATATAACTAGTTGAAGTACTTTATTTTTAGAAAGAACTAGTTTTTTTCTATTTTTAGTAAGTTTATATTTAGTAAGAACTAGCTGAATTAATAGAACTAGTTGAACATGTCACATTTGTTGTTATTTTTTTAGTTTAAGCAATTATTCGGGATGTATTAGTGATAACTTATAGGGTTTTTGCTTTTGCAGAAATGAAGGAGCCCCTCCATCATCCCCGTCGTCGTCCTCGTCACTGACCCCCTCCGACCTTGAGGTGAGACCAGCCAAATCTCCATGTCAATATGACTCCTATAAGATATATATGATGTAGATAAAAACATGTATATCATGTGTTACTCAAATAGGATATGTGGTTGCCCAAGTGGCCGGTCATGTTCAGGTTACACCTCCGAGTGGCCTATGTTTTGCCGGAGTGTTGATTAATTTCCGTTCCAACAAATTTCAGGCACTCAATATGTCCTTTTTTTTAGCAAAGGTCATGCCGGATTTTTCCGTGAATTTTGGCACGACTTGTGCTAGAATATGCAGGAAATATCGAGTGGCTTGGATTTTCTCGAAAAATAATGATCTAATTTAGGTTTTTTAGTACATATATTTAATTGTACAAGTTTAATCTTTGAATTATGAACGTAGGATATTTCGTACTCGAACGACGAAAGTCTCCCGGGGGAGTGCAGCTGGTGCCACGACGATCGAGGTCTGTGCGACAAGTGCCCTCACCTGGACGAAGATCGGCGCTTCAGCATTAAGCTCGAGGAGACCTTCGACGTTGAAATGGTACGCAAAGACGACAAGTGTTTTTTCGTAATTAAGCACGACTTCAACTATTTCAACGTCTAATTTTCATCTTTTACAATTCGACTAGCTTATCCCATGCCATGCAAGACGCTATGTCTTGGAGAGGATGGGTTTTGAAGACCATGAAAATTTTGAAACGAAGAAAATACACTTAAGAACCCATCATGATATGGATTTTGAAGTAAATCTGTACAATGCTCAGAGCGTAGCCCATTTTGGTTGCCAAAATTGAGAAGCACTTTGCAAAATGTATGGTTTTTATGAGGGTATGATTGTGACCATGGATCTTGGTGATCCTGACATCGAGGAAAACAATATGGACATTTGGGTCCTTGTTGATATGCTTCCGATTCTACCGCTATGTGAGTTTTTCAAACATAGTTATTAACTAATTTATATTGTTTATTTCAGAATAGTTGACAGCTTATTTCCATTGACAGCTTATTTTCATTCTTCAAAGAATGTGCGGAAAATGGTAGACAAAACCCACTACACCGATGACTCCGAATTAACTTATAAGGAGAAAAATCATCTGATCGCATTTTGTACTTACTTTGAGAATTACAATACCTATTATCGAACTCCTCCAAATTATGGTGAATACGTGCCACTAGTGCACGTATTGAACCACGATAACTTCTATGGAGATAGCCTGGTAGGATTTTTTACTATTACGACATCCGTGCATCTTTTGCATACTTCCAAAACTAGTACATCATTGCTAACTACGAAGTTATTACTATGTTTTTCAACATAAAATCCCGATGGATTGCGTGCCTCATCTGATATATCAGAATGGTTGCCTTGAAGTTTTGAACATACAGCCAGGTCATCCTACGGATCTCACCTGTGCATATCGGATTTCTGAAATCGGTGAACACATGCTAATCAAAGAAAGGAAAAAATGTTTGGACATTCATAAGAAGGTTCTTGGAAGCAACATTAAGCGAAAGGCAAGAATTTGAGACAGGATAATCTCCATTCTCCATAATGGAGAGCCAGGGGCTATCTTGTTTTTTTCTATTTTACCTTAGAGAATATAGTAGGTCCTAAGAGAATGTAGTAGGTCCTATGAGGTACAATATGTTTATTATGTGATACAATATGTTAGAGTTGATGATGAGGAGTAGTTCTGATTATGACTAGTGACCAACTTGCTATGTGATGTCTCATCGATGAAAACGATGATCATGAGGAGGTGTTATATGACAATGATGTATTATGATG